CTGTGAGGGCGATGTAGTATGGTATATTAACACTGTGAGGGCGATGTAGTGTGGTATATTAACACTGGGTGGGCGATGTAGTATGGTATATTAACACTGTGGGGCGATGTAGTGTGGTATATTAACACTGTGTGGGCGATGAAGTATTGTATATTAACACTGTGGGGCGATGTAGTGTGGTATATTAACACTGTGGGGCGATGTAGTGTGGTATATTAACACTGTGGGGCGATGTAGTATGGTCTGTCTACACTGTGGGGCGATGTAGTGTGGTATATTTACACTGTGAGGGCGATGTAGTGTGGTATATTAACACTGTGGGGCGATGTAGTATGGTCTGTCTACACTGTGAGGGCGATGTAGTGTGGTATATTAACACTGTGAGGGCGATGTAGTATGGTATATTAACACTGTGAGGGCGATGTAGTGTGGTATATTAACACTGGGTGGGCGATGTAGTATGGTATATTAACACTGTGAGGGCGATGTAGTATGGTCTGTCTACACTGTGGGGCGATGTAGTGTGGTATATTAACACTGTGAGGGCGATGTAGTGTGGTATATTAACACTGTGAGGGCGATGTAGTGTGGTATATTAACACTGTGAGGGCGATGTAGTGTGGTATATTTACAGTGTGAGGGCGATGTAGTGTGGTATATTAACACTGTGAGGGCGATGTAGTGTGGTATATTAACACTGGGTGGGCGATGTAGTGTGGTATATTAACACTGTGAGGGCGATGTAGTGTGGTATATTAACACTGTGAGGGCGATGTAGTGTGGTATATTTACAGTGTGAGGGCGATGTAGTGTGGTATATTTACAGTGTGAGGGCGATGTAGTGTGGTATATTAACTCTGTGAGGGCGATGTAGTGTGGTATATTAACACTGGGTGGGCGATGTAGTGTGGTATATTAACACTGTGAGGGCGATGTAGTGTGGTATATTAACACTGGGTGGGCGATGTAGTGTGGTATATTAACACTGTGAGGGCGATGTAGTATGGTATATTAACACTGTGAGGGCGATGTAGTGTGGTATATTAACACTGGGTGGGCGATGTAGTATGGTATATTAACACTGTGGGGCGATGTAGTGTGGTATATTAACACTGTGAGGGCGATGTAGTGTGGTATATTAACACTGTGAGGGCGATGTAGTGTGGTATATTTACACTGTGCGGGATATGTAGTGTGGTATATTAACACTGGGTGGGCGATGTAGTGTGGTATATTAACACTGTGAGGGCGATGTAGTATGGTATATTAACACTGTGAGGGCGATGTAGTGTGGTATATTAACACTGGGTGGGCGATGTAGTATGGTATATTAACACTGTGGGGCGATGTAGTGTGGTATATTAACACTGTGAGGGCGATGTAGTGTGGTATATTAACACTGTGAGGGCGATGTAGTGTGGTATATTTACACTGTGCGGGATATGTAGTGTGGTATATTTACAGTGTGAGGGCGATGTAGTGTGGTATATTAACACTGTGAGGGCGATGTAGTGTGGTATATTAACACTGGGTGGGCGATGTAGTGTGGTATATTAACACTGTGAGGGCGATGTAGTGTGGTATATTAACACTGTGAGGGCGATGTAGTGTGGTATATTAACACTGGGTGGGCGATGTAGTATGGTATATTAACACTGTGAGGGCGATGTAGTATGGTATATTAACACTGTGAGGGCGATGTAGTGTGGTATATTAACACTGGGTGGGCGATGTAGTATGGTATATTAACACTGTGGGGCGATGTAGTGTGGTATATTAACACTGTGAGGGCGATGTAGTGTGGTATATTAACACTGTGAGGGCGATGTAGTGTGGTATATTAACACTGTGAGGGCGATGTAGTGTGGTATATTAACACTGGGTGGGCGATGTAGTATGGTATATTAACACTGTGAGGGCGATGTAGTATGGTATATTAACACTGTGAGGGCGATGTAGTGTGGTATATTAACACTGGGTGGGCGATGTAGTATGGTATATTAACACTGTGGGGCGATGTAGTGTGGTATATTAACACTGTGTGGGCGATGTAGTATGGTATATTAACACTGTGTGGGTGATGTAGTATGGTCTGTCTACACTGTGGGGCGATGTAGTGTGGTATATTAACACTGTGGGGCGATGTAGTATGGTCTGTCTACACTGTGGGCGATGTAGTGTGGTATATTTACATTGTGTGGGCGATGTCGTGTGGTATATTTACACTGTGTGAACGGTATAGGGTGGTATTTATACAGGATTAAGGATCGGCCTAACCATCTTTGATTCGCCTTTGGGTTGTATAGATCCGAGTTAGGGAAATACATTACTGACTCATCTGGACAGGGTGGCCTTCATATTAGTGATGAGTTCGTTCTGCTACAGATATACAATATATAAGCTTCGCCACAGTGTCTTCCTTCACTACCGCACACCTGCTTATAACAAAACCTTCCGACATCGTATTGCCTGGACAATGCTAAACCCGCATATGAACTTATTCAGCCATGTTTGTGTCATTTCGTGTGGCTCTCATGGTATGTATAGCCATGGAGGATCGTCACTTATAGTGGAAGCAGTGTGTTGTTTGCGTATTGTGTGTTGTGTGTAGCTGCAAGTACAAGCATAGCCAGTGGAGGATCGTCACTTATAGTGGAAGCAGTGTGTTGTTTGCGTATTGTGTGTTGTGTGTAGCTGCAAGTACAAGCATAGCCAGTGGAGGATCGTCACTTATAGTGGAAGCAGTGTGTTGTTTGCGTATTGTGTGTTGTGTGTAGCTGCAAGTACAAGCATAGCCAGTGGAGGATCGTCACTTATAGTGGAAGCAGTGTGTTGTTTGCGTATTGTGTGTAGCTTCAATTACAAGCATAGCCACTGGAGGATCGTCACTTATAGTGGAAGCAGTGTGTTGTTTGCGTATTGTGTGTTGTGTGTAGCTGCAATTACAAGCATAGCCATTGGAGGATCGTCACTTATAGTGGAAGCAGTGTGTTGTTTGCGTATTGTGTGTAGCTTCAATTACAAGCATAGCCAGTGGAGGATCGTCACTTATAGTGAAAGCAGTGTGTTGTTTGCGTATTGTGTGTTGTGTGTAGCTGCAATTACAAGCATAGCCAGTGTAGGATCGTCACTTATAGTGAAAGCAGTGTGTTGTTTGCGTATTGTGTGTTGTGTGTAGCTGCAAGTACAAGCATAGCCAGTGGAGGATCGTCACTTTTAGTGAAAGCAGTGTGTTGTTTGCGTATTGTGTGTTGTGTGTAGCTGCAAGTACAAGCATATAGCCAGTGGAGGATCGTCACTTATAATGCATGTAGTATGTTGTTTGCGTATTGTGTGTTGTGTGTAGCTGCAATTACAAGCATAGCCAGTGGAGGATCGTCACTTATTGTGGAAGCAGTATGTTGTTTGCGTATTGTGTGTTGTGTGTAGCTGCAATTACAAGCATAGCCAGTGGAGGATCGTCACTTATAGTGGAAGCAGTGTGTTGTTTGTGTATTGTGTGTAGCTGCAATAACAAGCATAGCCTGTGGAGGATTATCACTTATAGTGGAAGCAGTGTGCTGTTTGTGTATTGTGTGCAGCTGCAATTACAAGCATAGCCAGTTGAGGATCATCACTTATAATGCATGTAGTATGTTGTTTGCGTATTGTGTGTTGTGTGTAGCTGCAATTACAAGCATAGCCATTGGAGGATCGTCACTTATAGTGGAAGCAGTATGTTGTTTGTGTGTTGTGTGTAGCTGCAATTACAAGCATAGCCAGTGGAGGATCATCACTTATAGTGGAAGCAGTATGTTGTTTGCGTATTGTGTGTTGTGTGTAGCTGCAGTTACAAGCATAGCCAGTGGAGGATCGTCACTTATAGTGGAAGCAGTGTGCTGTTTGTGTATTGTGTGTAGCTGCAATTACAAGCATAGCCAGTGGAGGATAGTCACTTATAGTGGAAGCAGTATGTTGTTTGCGTATTGTGTGTAGCTGCAATTACAAGCATAGCCAGTGGAGGATCGTCACTTATAGTGGAAGCAGTGTGTTGTTTGTGTATTGTGTGTTGTGTGTAGCTGCAATTACAAGCATAGCCAGTGGAGGATCGTCACTTATAGTGGAAGCAGTGTGTTGTTTGTGTATTGTGTGTAGCTTCAATTACAAGCATAGCCAGTGGAGGATCGTCACTTATAGTGGAAGCAGTGTGTTGTTTGTGTATTGTGTGTTGTGTGTAGCTGCAATTACAAGCATAGCCACTGGAGGATCGTCACTTATAGTGGAAGCAGTGTGTTGTTTGTGTATTGTGTGTAGCTTCAATTACAAGCATAGCCAGTGGAGGATCGTCACTTATAGTGGAAGCAGTGTGTTGTTTGTGTATTGTGTGTTGTGTGTAGCTGCAATTACAAGCATAGCCACTGGAGGATCGTCACTTATAGTGGAAGCAGTGTGTTGTTTGTGTATTGTGTGTAGCTTCAATTACAAGCATAGCCACTGGAGGATCGTCACTTATAGTGGAAGCATGTTTGTGTATTGTGTATTGTGTGTTGTGTGTAGCTGCAATTACAAGCATAGCCACTGGAGGATCGTCACTTATAGTGGAAGCAGTGTGTTGTTTGTGTATTGTGTGTAGCTTCAATTACAAGCATAGCCACTGGAGGATCGTCACTTATAGTGGAAGCATGTTTGTGTATTGTGTATTGTGTGTTGTGTGTAGCTGCAATTACAAGCATAGCCACTGGAGGATCGTCACTTATAGTGGAAGCAGTGTGTTGTTTGTGTATTGTGTGTAGCTTCAATTACAAGCATAGCCACTGGAGGATCGTCACTTATAGTGGAAGCATGTTTGTGTATTGTGTGTTGTGTTTGCATGAAGAGCCAATGCAGGACCGTCACGTTTGTGAATGTACCTAGAATCATATTCTAGTGCATTCTTGGGTTCAAACAAACAATCATGGCTTTCTCTCATGCCTAATTGACAGAAAATTGCGGCGATATTAAATAAGAACAGAAATCAAGCGTAATATAAATTAGTTTAATCTTCCCTGACAACAACTCACATCGTCAAACAGATCCAATATATCTTTCCCCTGGCACCAGTGGTCAAACACAACAACGTATCAACATAAATTTCCATTTTCTGTGATACTATTTAGAAACTATTTAAATTAACATTTTTTACAGTTAATCTCGTCTTAAAATATACTTATTTCACATATACATATGTACACATGGGTCATATTTTGTAAGTTTTTGTCCCAAACTTCTGACCAATTTTGTCAGTGTTCTGCGTAGTATCAATATAATCAAAGACGGGAGAATGCAACACGAGCGCACATATATAGCATATATACAAAGCAACATCTTAAGGAGTGTGATGAACCAATCAAATCATCCGATGTCTAGTGACGTCATCTAAAGTCTAAAACCAGAACAGTTACAAGAATGAAAGTCTTACACGACTCAACTTTTGATTGGGACAAGTGAATGTCCAGGTTGCGAATGATTGCTAGAATTTGTTGTCATACGAACAGTGTTTGATATTGTCTTCGCTCTATTGCATTTAACATTATTACAAATCAATATGAATTTAAGTAGAATTCAATATCCTGTGGCTCATAGTTTGGTAACAGAACGACAAAGCACAGTATCCCTGTTTTATATATTCCTAACGAGATGTGATTTCGCAAACAAATAGCTCACGAAATGTATGGTTAGTAATCAGGCTTACAAATGAAGGTTAATGACAAGTATTCGTTGAAGTACATCATGATCAGCCTCGCTCGGCTCAGCCGAGAGCTTGTCTCTACATGAACTGCATTTGTAGTGCTTATGAGATTCTCGATGACGACTCAGTTTCCAAGGTTATAGCTTTGTGATGTAGGAATCTTCAGCAGCCTCGTCATCGGAATAATCTGTCACGTCCAACAGCATCGGAATGGCCCGTTGTATCTTAGCAACGGCAAGGGCATCGTAAAGATCCAAGAAAATATTTTCGTGTGGAATCTTATTGAAAACACCAGCATGTTTCATAGCTTCCCGCATATCATAAGAACAACCGCACAGGAACAGTTTGATGTTGACGTGGTCGTACTCAGTGAAGATGTGACTAAGGACACTGGCGCCGGAGGCATCCAAGTAGTTGATGACGCTGCAATCGATGATGACGTGGTGCGTGCGTCTCATGGTTCTTAGTTTCTCATCCGTCACAAGGATGCCGCCGTCCTCGGGGTCAACTTCTTCGTCCTCGGAGTTGATTGTGGTGATGGTGACGGTGGAGAAGGTGGAATCAATGCTTCCGTGGCGTTTCATGCTGCCGTCGGCTTTGAAGCCATTCTGTTTGAGCGTATAGCTGTTATTTTGTGCTTCGTCAGTCATTGTGAACGCTGGGTTGTTGATACTGGTGACGGAGTTGCGTTTGGTGCTGTCACTTTTTGTTGACTCTGTGCTGTTCATACGCCCAATGAGGTTGCTATCAGACGTGCTTAGATTCGTGTTTCCAGTCGTGTTTGTTGATGGCACTGATGTCTTCACAACGGAGCTTCTTTTTTCTTCGCTTAGCAGCATCACACTCTTCCCAGATTTGCCCATTTTCTTTTCGTATTTCTTTATCATCTTCAGTAGTTTTCTGGGGTTCACAGTGCATTTGTAGAGGTTGGATCGGAAGATCTCGGCGTTGGCGTAGAAAAGAGAAGATTGGAAGCGGAAGATCTTGACGCCAGGGATCTCGACGGAATCCTGATATTTCTTGTGCTCCACAAGGGTACTGTCTTTCGTGGTTCTGCCGAGTCTGTATCCGCGGGCAAACTGAGTCTGGAACACAACAGTGATGAGGGACACACCCACGCCGATGAAGAGACCGTAGTCGATGTCGAGGAACACGGCGCTGGTGAAGGTGCTGAACCAAATGACGAAGTCGAATTTGTTGACACGCCAGAATTTGCGTCCGTCGAGAATCTGGATGAAGAGTCCTTTGAGAGCAATGAAGATGATGGCTGCGAGGATTGACTTGGGGAGAACCTCGAAGACGAAGCTGATGACCATGATGACGAGGACCATCAGACCGGATGTAAATATGCCGTTGACGACCGTCTTGGTGTTCATGCCGCTTGAAACCATGGATCGTGGGGGCGCCACGCTTGAGGGAAAGCACTTGAAGAAAGAGCTGACAAAGTTGCACATGCCGTAGGCGATGAGTTCTTGACTGTCGTCAACCTCGTAGTTGTGTTTCTTGGCGCAGATCTTAGCCATTGCGATGGTGTTGGCGAAGATGAGGATGGCGATGATGAAGCAGTCGGCCAAGAAATCGGGGGCTTCTGCCAGTGGTGGAATGACAGGTGGGGGAATGGAGTTAGGGATGCTTCCGACGATTGCAATTCCGAAGTTTGTGTTTAGGTCACCAAAGTAGCCAACGATGCATCCGAACACGACGACGAAAAGCTCGATAGGGATTGGCATGAAGAGCTTATGCTTGAATCTCTCGTTAATGCAGTCCTTGACCAGCACGATGATGAGACAAGTGATGACGGCACAGACGATGGCAGCAACGTTGACCTCGGTGATGTGGGAGAAGATTTCAATGTAGTTATTGATGAACTTGAACAGACCGCCGTGTTTCGTGATGTCCAAACCAAGCATAGCTGGAACCTGGCTTGTGGCAATGTGGATGGCAGCTCCTGATGTGAACGCGCAGAAGAAGGACTCGGATAGGTAGGCGGTGATGAACCCGAGCTTGAAGACGCCCATGAAGATCATCATTAACCCCGAAACGAAAGTCACAGCCATGGCTACCCCTTCCTTGTAATCTAAGTATGCTGGGATTTCATTAAGAGGCACTTGAGTACCGTTCAATGTAAAGTTCAGAATATCCGGATTAGCGGCGACAAAGGCCTCGCCTTGACGGTCCACAACACTAGCAGTCAATATACATATCACAGCACTGGTCCCGATGGAAACGTGGGCAGATGTTCCGAAAAATACGTAGATGATAACAGGCCATAAAGATGTATACAAGCCGTTCTCGATCTTCACAGACGTCAGCTGGCCGAACGCCAGTGCTTGGGGGATATGTAGTACCCCAATTGTTAAACCTGCCAGGATGTCAATCAGAATGTTTTCTTTAATGTTGTAGTACCGTAGGACCTTGAGGATTGGGAGATAACCGCTCACCAGCTTCCATAGTCGCTTCTTTGAGCAATACGCCTGTTTCTTCACGCGTTCGGATATGCTCTTGGATTCGAACTCGGTCTTGGCGTGGATATCGTCGAACGCTGTTTGCGTGAACGGTGGTCGCTTGATGACAATGGCATTATCAACGACGTTGACGGCAGGACAGGAGAAACGTCGTCCTTTCGTGTCCAGGCACCCGGGTGAGTTCATTGATGCCGCGTCACTGATAGATACTGAGCTTTTCTCATTCATTGTGGGAAGTCTGTAAATGTAGAAAAAAACCAACTAAGTCATGATATAACTGTACACAGTCACACATGAACTAATATTCAATGTTTAAATGTTAACAGTAAAAATATAACTAGTTTGTTTATGTCTTTTGTAAAAAGTGTATCAGTTACAGTTGTGGGTTTTCATTGTGTTTATACTCAATTCGACCCCACACAGTGACTTTTGCCACATAACTACCAGTGAATGATTGATTATTTTTTGCGCCGCTTTCAGCAATATTCCAGTAATATCTCGGCGCCACCGCCCCACACAACTACTAGAATGTAATAAAAAAAATTTATTCTTCAACAGCAATGGTTCACTTATGGTTGAGCGTCATTATAAAATGTAAAGATAAAATATAAGGTGTCTACTAGGCAATAAAGACTATACAGATATGCACGTACTTATACCATAGCTGATAAGTTGATGATGAAGGCATGGGATAATCTGTACAATAAATACTTTCTATTAACGGGTGAATTACAGTAAACTACGGTTATAACGAACTCAAGGGACTACTAATTTTAGTTCGTTATATCCGTCAGTTCGTTATAAGCGTGTTCGTTATAACCGTAGTTTACTGTACGTCCCTATTCTATACGCCAGAATGAAGTGATGCACTGTGACCTGGTATTTCGTGTGTTGGTTGTTGCTTCAAGGCCTTCTGCCTTAGCAGTTTCGGCTTACCTTGTCCTCTGTGTGAGAGTATTATTGACCGTGTTTGGTGTAGAGTTTGAGTTTCTGTCGCTACAAATGGTGCAATGTTTGTTTCCTGTAAAACCCTGCTATCATCAGAAATCAGTCGTACTTGCAGTGCTACAAGCAGAGTACGTTATTATTGAACGTCGCATATCCATTTCAGACACATAGCTGGTGGATATGAATGAGTGAGTGAGTATGGTTTTGCGCCGCTTTCAGCAATATTCCAGCAATATCTCGGCGCCACCGCCCCACATTGCTACGAGAATGTAATAAAGAAATATTATTCCTCAACAGCAATGCACTTGATTTCAATGTTATAAACCCACATGTTTGACAGATGCAACCTCATGTAGACAAGTTCGAGTTTGTTACACAATTCTGCACAACACGACATAAAACGGTGTTTGTCCACTCGACATGAGGACGTTATGCGTTTACAATGTTTGCCTGTATGTTACGGTAATAACGGTCACCGTGGACCTGTCACTGATTACATACTGACACAGCGTTACCTGCAGATGCCTGACGAAAATATTCTTACAGGTAATCACGAATGAACTTGAGAATGAATTTGTAAATAAAATTTCAAATTATTTTAGTATTGACTTCGGCGTGTCAACTCTAAATTTAACTCCTTACATTAATAACCTTGTACAAAGTGCATGTATACTTCTGTAAACGATATAATTGCATTGCAAGTGTTGATAATTAACGTACACGTAAGCCCTGTGCGAATTTTCAATTATATTTGCTATCAAGTATACATATCTGTATGTAAACCTTAATACGCTTATAATTTTACCTTTACAATCCAGTTCGTATTGCGATACGGTTTTAAGAATATAACATATGACGATGAAAAATATTAACATGTATTAAATCTATTTTTCATCTAATTTGAAGCAACATAGAATTTTCTGATAACCAAAATACAAGCGTAATGTTTGTTTCAGACGAAATGTTTACCACTAAACATCAAAGCACCAAGAGCTGTCACACGCCCGATGAGGATAAACAAGTTTTGTGATATATGTCTTACCTTGGCAGAGATCCGGAACGCACTGAAGAAGTAACGAAAGCTAAACCCACTGATCCCGAAGCTGGTAGGCGTCACCACTGAATCTTGACAGTGGACGGCAGGCTTAAATACCTAGGGTAACAGTGTCAATTCATCACCTCTCAATTCATCGCCATCAAGACTATTCTCTCCTAAGCTCCGCCCACTGTCATTTCAGGGCTTAATCCCGGTGTAGGTGCATCTTGAGCTTTGACAGGCTGTTCTGTGGAAGATGTAATGTCTTGTGATTGACACACCGTGTGTCAGCTATGATGTAATACATCTTCAGATGTCTAACCGAGAATCGTCTGAGCCAAGGACACTCTATTGAACGCTTTGTTTTCTCTCATTTTGTTTGTTTCTGTATTAATCGTCTTCTTCCTGATTTTTAATATGTGACCAGGTATATTTATGTTCTAAATATGATTGAAATTTGTGTCAACGATTTTTCTTTGCATAGTATGTTTTATTTTTATGCATTTTAGTTCAAACGCTTTGTTTTAGATTTTTTACCGATTACAGTTTGTGAATATGAATGTTTATTTAAACTAAGCATTCAAGTACAACAGATTTTATTGGTTTAAATTAAAAGCACAAAAATATATTGAAGCGTGGTTATTGAACTGTGATATTTAGATTATGATTTAAATGATAAATTAATGCATTAACGAAGAGTGTTATAACTAACGCGGCATTGCTTAAATGAGCTTAGACATGTTCTAAGAAACATATAGAATATACTGATGACGTTTGTGATAACAGTGATTAGAGTTACGTTTTGGCAGAAATATCCCAATCTGACCTCTGTGGATTTTTTGTAAATTGTTACCATGATATGTCGGGTATTTATGAAATCTCTTTTTTGGAAAGAAGCGTAAGAGTCAGTTCCCGGTATTTGATTGGTCTATTATATATATGTCAGCATGTTTAGACATTGGAATATGTTATAGCAATCCAATATATACCCCAATCTCTCTAATCTGAACAGTTTGGAGTACCGTCGCTGTATCTAATTGATGAGACAACTTAGATGGGACTTTTTAAATCATGACAGAAAAATGGTAAGAAATTAAGCTTAATATAGGACAGGATTGGGTACAAGGGCGTCTCAGCATATGCGCGAGACATTGTTTTATTTGACAAATAGAATGTTTATTAATAATGCATGCAGTATGTTGTTTTGTGTATTGTGGTGAGGTGAGGTGAAATGGGGTTTAACGTCGCGTCCAAGATTATTGCACTTATATAGCGACGTGCTTGCACGTGTATGTATGTGTGTGGCTGCTTGTACTAGGCCGGACTGATGCCGATTTATAGTGCTAGCTCACTGAGATACCATGCCGCAGTTTAACATGAATACCCCACTCAGACACAGTATACTGACTCCGAGCCGACCAGTCCTTGTTTTAGCCCCTTAATGCCGAGCGCCAGACAGGGTAACAACAAGTACCATTTTTTAACGTCTTTTTGGTATGACGCGGTCGGGGATCGAACCCTGGACCTTCCGCTCTCCGGTCGGACGCTCTACCATGAGACCACGGAGGCGGTCCTTGTGTATTGTGAATAGCTCTGATTTCATGCATAGCCATGCCGGATCATCACTTAAAGTGCATGTAGTATGTTTGCGTAGCTTTTATTGCACGTCTATCCAGTGGAGGATCGTCACTTACAGTGCATGTGGTATGTTGTTTGTGTTTTGTGAGTAGCTCCTATTGCACGTCACCCAGTGCTTGATCGACACTTATGGTGCATGTAGTATGTTTTATTATATAAAGGGCAGGTTTCTCGGCAGGATAAAGCCAACGGATAAAAAACGATAGTCTGGATAAACTACAGAGATAATTGCTATCATTATCAAAAGAACAGTCTAATATACTTAAAATCAGTGTCTAAATGTGACGTAGCTAAGGCATGTTATAAGTTTTGGCAACTTTGGAGATATACATTTCGAAACAATTTTGCGAGGGCGCTAGGCCTAGCCAAGCGGGATCAGTAGCCATATCTGTGCTTTTAGACCTCTTCGGCTTGAAAACTTTTCCACAAATTAAAATATTTGGATTTGGCCGAAATATGTTTGAATTGTTACCTTGGTTCGTTTTATCGCTGTGTGTACATCTGATTGCACTTTTTAACGTTATGACAGGACAGGCCGACTATCAACAGCGTCTGAACGTGGCCGTGACGTCTCATAGACTACATCTTCCCGAGGCACGGGAGTTTACTGACTATAAAAGTCCAGTTTCCACCCTTGCCGAACCAGGCTAGTACTATGGAGTTACATTTTGGCTGGACTAACGAGTCTATGAATAGTCCAATCAAAATCACGCAATTGAATTTTAATCCGGTTTGTAAACTGTCGTGCAGATTTCGGTCCATTGCAGGATTTGTAAAGCATGTGCACCGCCAACTCGTTTTCCTAACCTTTACATGTTTTTGATCAAGGTGCTCACGTGATTTGATGTACTTCGCGATGTAAGACCCGTTTTATTACAAAATAGATCTTGATGATCGATCAGATCGTCTTGACTGGGCGCCGCGATTTTGTTTGAAACAAATGCAAGTGATGGAATCGGATTGGTCCATAGGAAAGGCTTAGAAGGGACATAACTTGTAATAGCCACTGGTTGCGCTACGATCGAGCCCAGGAATTCCAGCCGAGTTCGGCAAGGGTGGAAACTGGACTTTTAAAGTCAGTTAACTCTCTTGCCTCGGGAAGATGCATAGACTGGGGTTAGAGTAGCTCCCCTTTGACAAAGGGAAGCTACTCCGGCAGACAGACCGATGGATTGCCGCGAAATGCAAATAAAAACAATATTGTTGTTTTTCATATATGTTGCTTCGCCACTGTATAAGAAACAGATTTCAGTTGGAACTATATTGGCTACTGTCACTGTCCGACTGACACATCACATACCCTGTAACATAATATATGACGTAATATATTAATGCGCGCATTCCAGGAAAACTCGCAATGTCTAGGTAATGTTTGTGAGAGGGGCAATGCGATTTTCAAGCACAGAATTAAAGAATGACACTGTATGATAAAGAGGTTATCACGCTTGTGTGTTTGGGGATGGTAAATATATTGTATTAGGAATAAACACTATATATTTAGCTCGCCAAGGCTCGCTAAATACAACGTTTATTCCTAATGCATGATATTATTTACCATCCCCAAACACACTCGCGTGATAACCTCTATGTTTGTGTATTGTGAGTAGCCACGATTGCACGTATATCCAGTGCTTGATCGTCACTTACAGAGCATGTAAGTATGTTGTTTGTGTATTGTGAGTAACTAATAATGCACGTCTATCCAGTGGAGGATCGTCACTTACAGTGCATGCAGGTGGTTGATTGTGTATTGTGAGTAGCTACCGTTGCACGTCTATCCAGTGGAGGATCGTCACTTACAGTGCATGTGATTCGGTGTTTGTGTATTGTGAGTAGCTACCGTTGCACGTATATCCATTGGAGGATCGTCACTTACAGCGATGTGGTGTGGTGTTTGTGTATTGTGAGTAGCTACAATTGCACGTTTTGCCAATGCATGATCATCCTTTAAAGTGCATGTGGTATATTGTTTGTGTATTATGAGTAGCTACTATTGTACGTTTATCCAGTGGAGGATCGTCATTTACAGTGTATGTGGTGTGGTGTGGTGTTTGTGTATTGTGAGGATCTACCATTGCACGTATATCCAATAGTGGCTCGTCACGTATGGTGCATGTAGTATGTTGGTTGTGTATTGTGAGGATCTACCATTGCACGTATATCCAATAGTGGCTCGTCACGTATGGTGCATGTAGTATGTTGGTTGTGTATTGTGAGGATCTACCATTGCACGTATATCCAATAGTGGCTCGTCACGTATGGTGCATGTAGTATGTTGGTTGTGTATTGTGAGGATCTACCATTGCACGTATATCCAATAGTGGCTCGTCACGTATGGTGCATGTAGTATGTTGGTTGTGTATTGTGAGGATCTACCATTGCACGTATATCCAATAGTGGCTCGTCACTTATGGTGCATGTAGTATGTTGGTTGTGTATTGTGAGGATCTACCATTGCACGTATATCCAATAGTGGCTCGTCACTTATGGTGCATGTAGTATGTTGGTTGTGTATGTTGAGCAGCTACTATTGCACGTCTACCAAGTGGAGGATCGTCACTTACAGTGCTTATGTTGTTTGTGTTTTGTGAGTCTTTCGTGCATAGCGAGGCCGAATCGTCACTGATAGTGCATGCAGTATGTTCTTTGTGATTTGTGTGTTGCTCCAAGTACATGCACAGTGAGGCTGAATCGTCACTAATAGTGCATGCTGTATGTTGTTTGTGTACGGTGCGAGGCTCCAAGTACATGCATAGCGAGGCTGAATCGTCACTGATAGTGCATGCATTATGTAGCTTGTGTATTGTGCGTTGCTCCAAGTACATGCAAAGCGAGGCTGAATCGTCACCAATAGTGCATGCAGTATGTTGTTTGTGTATTGTGTGTTGCTCCAATTACATGCATAGCGAGGCTGAATCGTCACTGATAGTGCATTCTGTATGTTGTTTGTGTATTGTGTGTTGCTCCAAGTACATGCATAGCGAGGCTGAATCGTCTCTTATAGTGCATGCTGTATGTTGTTTGTGTATTGTGTGTTGCTCCAATTACATGCATAGCGAGGCTGAATCGTCACTGATAGTGCATTCTGTATGTTGTTTGTGTATTGTGTGTTGCTCCAAGTACATGCATAGCGAGGCTGAATCGTCTCTTATAGTGCATGCAGTATGTTGTTTGTGTATTGTGTGTTGCTCCAATTACATGCATAGCGAGGCTGAATCGTCACTGATAGTGCATTCTGTATGTTGTTTGTGTATTGTGTGTTGCTTCCAAGTACATGCATAGCGAGGCTGAATCGTCACTGATAGTGCATGCAGTATGTTGTTTGTGTATTGTGTGTTGCTCCAATTACATGCATACCGAGGCTGAATCGTCACTGATAGTGCATGCAGCATGTTGTTTGTGTATTGTGTGTTGCTCCAATTACATGCATAGCGAGGCTGAATCGTCACTGATAGTGCATGCTGTATGTTGTTTGTGTATTGTGTGTTGCTCCAATTACATGCATAGCGAGGCTGAATCGTCACTGATAGTGCATGCAGCATGTTGTTTGTGTATTGTGTGTTGCTCCAATTACATGCATAGCGAGGCTGAATCGTCACTGATAGTGCATGCTGTATGTTGTTTGTGTATTGTGTGTTGCTCCAATTACATGCATACCGAGGCTGAATCGTCACTGATAGTGCATGCAGCATGTTGTTTGTGTATTGTGTGTTGCTCCAATTACATGCATAGCGAGGCTGAATCGTCACTGATAGTGCATTCTGTATGTTGTTTGTGTATTGTGTGTTGCTCCAATTACATGCATAGCGAGGCTGAATCGTCACTGATAGTGCATGCTGTATGTTGTTTGTGTATTGTGTGTTGCTCCAATTACATGCATAGCGAGGCTGAATCGTCACTGATAGTGCATGCAGCATGTTGTTTGTGTATTGTGTGTTGCTCCAATTACATGCATAGCGAGGCTGAATCGTCACTGATAGTGCATTCTGTATGTTGTTTGTGTATTGTGTGTTGCTCCAATTACATGCATAGCGAGGCTGAATCGTCACTGATAGTGCATGCTGTATGTTGTTTGTGTATTGTGTGTTGCTCCAATTACATGCATACCGAGGCTGAATCGTCACTGATAGTGCATGCAGCATGTTGTTTGTGTATTGTGTGTTGCTCCAATTACATGCATAGCGAGGCTGAATCGTCACTGATAGTGCATTCTGTATGTTGTTTGTGTATTGTGTGTTGCTCCAATTACATGCATACCGAGGCTGAATCGTCTCTTATAGTGCATGCTGTATGTTGTTTGTGTATTGTGTGTTGCTCCAATTACATGCATAGCGAGGCTGAACCGTCACTGATAGTGCATGCAGCATGTTGTTTGTGTATTGTGTGTTGCTCCAATTACATGCATACCGAGGCTGAATCGTCACTGATAGTGCATGCAGCATGTTGTTTGTGTATTGTGTGTTGCTCCAATTACATGCATAGCGAGGCTGAATCGTCACTGATAGTGCATGCAGTATGTTGTTTGTGTATTGTGTGTTGCTCCAAGTACATGCATACCGAGGCTGAATCGTCACTGATAGTGCATGCAGCATGTTGTTTGTGTATTGTGTGTTGCTCCAAGTACATGCATAGCGAGGCTAAATCGTCACTGATAGTGCATGTAGTATTTTGTTTGTGCATTGTGAGGATCTACCATTGTACGTATATCCAGTAGTAGATCGTCACTTATGGTGCATGTAGTATGTTGTTTGTGTTTTTGAGTAGCCACCATTGCACGTATATCCAGTGCTTGAACGTGGCTTACAGTGCTTATGTTGGTTGTGTTTTGTGAGTCTTTCATGCAAAGCGAGGCTAAATCGTCACTTATAGTGCATTCTGTATGTTGTTTGTGTATTGTGCGTTGCTCCAAGTACATGCATAGCGAGGCTAAATCGTCACTTGTAGTGCATGCTGTATGTTGTTTGTGTATTGTGTGTTGCTCCATGTACATGCACCGCCTCCGTGGCCTAGAGGTAGAGCGTCCGCCCGGAGAGCGGAAGGTCCGGGGTTTGATCCCCGGCCGCGTCATACCAAAAGACGTTAAAAGATGGTACTTGTTGTTACCCTGTCTGGCCTTCAGCATTAATGGGCTAAAATATAACTGTCTAGCTCGGAGTCAGTATACTGACTACACACACGTGCATGCAAGTCGCTATATAAGTGCAATAATCTTGGACGCGACGTTAAACCCAATTTCACCTCACCTCCAAGTACATGCATAGAGAGGCTGAATCGTCACTAATACAGCATGCTGTATGTTGTTTGTGTACGGTGTGTTGCTCCAAGTACATGTATAGAGAGGCTGAATCGTCACTAATAGTGCATGCTGTATGTTGTTTGTGTATTGTGTGTTGTTCTAAGTACATGCATAGCGAGGCTGAATCGTCACTGATAGTGCATGCAGCATGTTGTTTGTTTATTGTGTGTTGCTCCAAGTACATGCATACCGAGGCTAAATCGTCTCTTATGGTGCATGCAGTATGTTGTTTGTGTACGTTGCGAGGCTCCAAGTACATGCATAGCGAGGCTGAATCGTCACTGATAGTGCATGCAGTATGTTGTGTGTGTATTGTGTGTTGCACCAAGTACGTAGATAGCGAGGCTGAATCGTCACTTATAGTGCATGCAGTATGTTGTTTGTGTATTGTGTGTTGCTCCAATTACATGCATACCGAGGCTGAATCGTCACTAATAGGACATGCAGTATGTTGTTTGTGTATTGTGTGTTGCACCAAGTACATAGATAGCGAGGCTGAATCGTCACTTATAGTGCATGCAGTATGTTGTTTGTGTATTGTGTGAGGATCTAAGGTGCCTAGGAACCTAGAATCAGGAACAATCTGGGATTCAACCCACGAGGGACGCAACGCTACGCAGCGAATTGCGGAGATATTTTATAAGAACAGAACACAAGCGTTATATAAATTATTTTAATCTTCCGTGACAACAACTCCCATCTTCAAACAGATCCTTATATACTATTCCCCTGACACCAGCGGTGAAACACAACAACGTATCTTGAACAAGTTCCATATTGTGTGATAATATTTAGAACGTTTTAAACTACTATGCATTACAATTAGCACACTATAACCATTCTTAGTTGAATCTCGTCTTATTATATACGTATTTCATATATACATATGTACAAATGGGTCATATTTGTGTAAGTTTTAGTCCCAAAGTTCTGATAAACCTTTTCATCAGTGTTCTGCGTAGTATCGACAGTATCAAAGACGGAAGAAAGGCGCGCACGCACACACACACACACACACACACACACACACACACACACACACACACACACACACACACACACACACACACACACACACACACACACACACACACACACACACACAAACATATATGTATATATAGATAGATAGATAGATATTGCGTATATACAACGCCACACCTGAGTATTATACATAAGTGAAACACATATGGAGTGCGATGAACCAATCAAATCATTCGATGTCCAGTGACGTCATCGGCTCAGCCGAGTGCGAAGTCTCTACATGAAACTGCATTTGTAGTGTTTATGAGATTCTCGATTGCGATTCAGTTTCCATTGTTATAGCTTTGTGATGTAGGAATCTTCAGCAGCCTCGTCATCGGAATAATCTGTCACGTCCAACAGCATCGGAATGGCCCGTTGTATCTTAGCAACGGCAAGGGCATCGTAAAGATCCAAGAAAATATTTTCGTGTGGAATCTTATTAAAAACACCAGCATGTTTCATAGCTTCCCGCATGTCGTAAGAACAACCGCACAGGAACAGTTTGATGTTGACGTGGTCGTACTCAGTGAAGATGTGACTAAGGACATTGGCGCCGGAGGCATCCAAGTAGTTGATGACGCTGCAATCGACGACGACGTGGTGCGTGCGTCTCATAGTTCTTAGTTTCTCATCCGTCACAAGGATGCCGCCGTCCTCGGGGTCAACTTCTTCGTCCTCGGAGTTGATTGTGGTGATGGTGACGGTGGAGAAGGTGGAGTCAATGCTTCCGTGGCGTTTCATGCTGCCGTCGGCGTTGAAGCCATTCTGTTTGAGCGTATAGCTGTTATTTTGTGCTTCGTCGGTGATTGTGAACACAGGATTGTCCATACTGGAGACGGAGTTGCGTTTTGTGCTGTCACTTTTTGTTGACTCTGTGCTGTTCATACGCCCAATGAGGTTGCTATCAGACGTGCTTAGATTCGTGTTTCCAGTCGTGTTTATTGATGGCACTGATGTCTTCACAACGGAGCTTCTTCTTTCTTCGCTTAGCAGCATCACACTCCTCCCAGATTTGCCCATTTTCTTTTCGTATTTCTTTATCATCTTCAGTAGTTTTCTGGGGTTAACAGTGCATCGGTAGAGGTTGGATCGGAAGATCTCGGCGTTGGCGTAGTACAGAGAAGACTCGAAGCGGAAGATCTTGACGCCAGGGATCTCGACGGAATCCTGATATTTCTTGTGCTCCACAAGGGTGCTGTCTTTCATGGTTCTGCCGAGTCTGTAGCCGCGGGCAAACTGAGTTTGGAACACAACAGTGATGAGGGACACACCCACGCCGATGAAGAGACCGTAGTCGATGTCGAGGAACACGGCGCTGGTGAAGGTGCTGAACCAAATGACGAAGTCGAATTTGTTGACACGCCAGAATTTGCGTCCGTCGAGAATCTGGATGAAGAGTCCTTTGAGAGCAATGAAGATGATGGCTGCGAGGATTGACTTGGGGAGAACCTCGAAGACGAAGCTGATGACCATGATAACGAGGACCATCAGACCGGATGTAAATATGCCGTTGACGACCGTCTTGGTGTTCATGCCGCTTGAAACCATGGATCGTGGGGGCGCCACGCTTGAGGGAAAGCACTTGAAGAAAGAACTGACAAAGTTGCACATGCCGTAGGCGATGAGTTCTTGACTGTCGTCAACCTCGTAGTTGTGTTTCTTGGCGCAGATCTTAGCCATTGCGATGGTGTTGGCGAAGATGAGGATGGCGATGATGAAGCAGTCGGCCAAGAAATCGGGGGCTTCTGCCAGTGGTGGAATGACAGGTGGGGGAATGGTGTTAGGGATGCTTCCGACGATTGCGATTCCGAAGTTTGTGTTTAGGTCACCAAAGTAGCCAACGATGCATCCGAACACGACGACGAAAAGCTCGATAGGGATTGGCATGAAGAGCTTATGCTTGAATCTCTCGTTAATGCAGTCCTTGACCAGCACGATGATGAGACAAGTGATGACGGCACAGACGATGGCAGCAACGTTGACCTCGGTGATGTGGGAGAAGATTTCAATGTAGTTATTGATGAACTTGAACAGACCGCCGTGTTTCGTGATGTCCAAACCAAGCATAGCTGGAACCTGGCTTGTGGCAATGTGGATAGCAGCTCCTGATGTGAACGCGCAGAAGAAGGACTCGGATAGGTAGGCGGTGATGAACCCGAGCTTGAAGACGCCCATGAAGATCATCATTAACCCCGAAACGAAAGTCACAGCCATGGCTACCCCTTCCTTGTAATCCAAGTATGCAGGGATTTCATTAAGAGGCACTTGAGTTCCGTTCAATGTAAAGTTCAGAATATCCGGATTAGCGGCGACAAAGGCCTCGCCTTGACGGTCCACAACACTAGCAGTCAATATACAGATCACAGCACTGGTGCCGATGGAAACGTGGGCAGATGTTCCGAAAAATACGTAGATGATAACAGGCCATAAAGATGTATACAAGCCGTTCTCGATCTTCACAGACGTCAGCTGGCCGAACGCCAGTGCTTGGGGGATATGTAGTACCCCAATTGTTAAACCTGCCAGGATGTCAATCAGAATGTTTTCTTTAATGTTGTAGTACCGTAGGACCTTGAGGATTGGGAGATAACCGCTCACCAGCTTCCATAGTCGCCTCTTGGAGCAATACGCCTGTTTCTTCAGGCGTTCGGATATGCTCTTGGATTCGAACTCGGTCTTGGCGTGGATATCGTCGAACGCTGTTTGCGTGAACGGTGGTCGCTTGATGACAATGGCATTATCAACGACGTTGACGGCAGGACAGGAGAAACGTCGTCCTTTCGTGTCCAGGCAACCGGGTTGGTTCATTGATGCCGCGTCACTGATAGATACTGAGCGTTTCTCATTCATTGTGGGAAGTCTGTAAATGTAGAAAAAAGACAAACCTCAGTCATGATAGAACTGAACGGTACACGGTCACACATGAATTAACAGCATTAACAGCAAAAGTATAACTCGTTTGTTTATGTCTTTTGTAAATATTGTATCAGTTACAGTGGTGGGTTACAGGTTTTAATTGTGGTTAATTGACTTATGGTAAAGCGTCATTATAAAATGTAAACATAATAGCTAAGAAAGTGTTTATGTAGGTATATGCTTGGCATTAAAGACAATACAGACAGACGCGTACTTATACCATAGCTGTAAATTTGATGACGAAGCGATGGAAAAAAAAGGTACAATTAATACGTTCTGTCAAGAAAAAACCCATGTACGGTAAATTACGTCCCTGTGCTATCAGATAATGAAGAAGAAGACGAAATATAGTTCAGATGTCACGTCTCTGTAAATACATAAGAGTGATAAGACGGTGTATATAAAACCACAGGCACCCGTCCAATAGGCCTATGAGAGATAAAAAATCATTCAAAACATTGCTAAAAAATGAAGTTAAAGTTACAGACTCTGTTCTCATGTCTGTGAGTAGGGTACACATATCTATTTCTAGTTTTAGTATTCCTAAAATTTCTGTTTTTGTATTGATAGGATTTCTATTTTCGTATATTGGTATGATTTCATTTTTATCTTTGGCTGCTCTGTTTCTATACGTTCGAGTAGCTGTCCATCTCTCAAAAATAGAGTTAGTTTGGCCTTCGCTATAGCTATTGCATCTCTTGGCTTTAGAAGATCTCAACAGGTGACGGATCCGACTGCAATTCTTGTTTTAATCCGGCTGGGTCATGGTCTTGACATTCCAGTAGAAAGTGAGCAATGGATTCAGGTTGATTGCAAGATGGGCATACCTTGTCATAGTACTGTGACCTGGCGTTTCAGTGGCTATATATACCTGACATTGTGAAAACTCATCACGTAACACTAATGACAGTACGTTTCAACCTAAACCTTAAATGTCCTCGAAACATTGCCAGATAGCTCATTAAACTATACAATAATATATTGCAAGACTTGTTGTAACTGGCTGGCAACAGGACATTTTGACATGAGGGGACAACTGGCAACATAGTCGGTACAGGTGTTGTGTGAGTAACCTCATGTGAACCCGCATCCCTTGACATTTTGATGTAGCACATTAATAATTACCATTACGTCATGGTTCTCATGAGATGACAGATGTCACCTAGCAACGTCGTTTATAGTTCTAAACAAGTATGATATTTGGGGTGCTGTGGGGGTGGTATATTTACAAGGTCTGGTCCGCAGTAGGGCTGTGCTATCTACAAGGTCTGGGGCGCTGTTGTGGTGGCATATTTACAAGGTCTGGGGTGCAGTAGTGCTGTGATATCTACAAGGTCTGGGGCGCAGTAGGGCTGTGCTATCTACAAGGTCTGGGGCGCTGTTGTGGTGGCATATTTACAAGGTCTGGGGTGCAGTAGTGCTGTGATATCTACAAGGTCTGGGGCGCAGTAGGGCTGTGATATCTACAAGGTCTGGGGCGCTGTAGGGCTGTGATATCTACAAGGTCTGGGGCGCAGTAGGGCTGTGCTATCTACAAGGTCTGGGGCGCTGTTGTGGTGGCATATTTACAAGGTCTGGGGTGCAGTAGTGCTGTGATATCTACAAGGTCTGGGGCGCTGTAGGGCTGTGATATCTACAAGGTCTGGGGCGCTGTAGGGTTGGTATATATTCAAGGTATGAGTTGCTGAAGGAGTGGCATATTCACACTGTCTGTACGATGAAGGTTGTGTTATACAGAATCACAGGTTCGGCTTAAAGTTTGAATTTACAAAATCTTTGACTCGCCATGCATCATCAGAGTTAAGGAGATAGAATATTGACTGATCTGGGGGTAGAGGGCCTTCATAATAGTAATGGCTTCGTTCTGCTACATCAGGAGTTAAGTGCACTATATCATCGTCTGTTTCAGAGTGTTTCCCTTCACAAACGTTTACCGGCTCGGAAACACGTTCGACAGCTTTACCCCCGTCAACCCCTCCCCCTCGTCGGGACACGACAGCGACTGCAGTTGATAGACAAGCTAACGGACGCTTCAATTGCGATGAAATCCTACACTGACGTGGTTCATGGCAGTTTGGCGGGCTGACAACAGGAGACCGTCCATATTTGTCATTTAGCCAGTCATCATATTCCTTTCAGTAGCATTAAGCGCCTTGTCAAACACGTTCAATAGACCGTTCTGTTAGAAAACATATTCTTTGCAGTGGGAGAGAGAGCAAACAGGACACACATTGCGACATACGATGAACCCAGGTTGAGCAGAATTTCTGAAATTGAATATTCATACTGAAAACAGGACGTTGAAATTAATTGGAGACAGTTACCACAGACTGGTCCAAAACTCAGCATGGTTATTTTTTTTTCATTTTTCAATTGTATTTCACCTCAACCACTCCGCGACAGACGCGCACTACAGCTCTACTTATAGGATGCGGAGAGAAAAATGCAAGTCGTGTTGCACGCTTACTTAATGAACCCGGTCTAATTTGTATATTCATAATGACCCAGGTCAAGTCGTTGGCTAGTCTCACCTGGGATGCAGTCGGCGGCAGTGATACATCACACGTGTCGGTTTCGGTACAAACCGGGAGCCTGTCTACAGACAATGTTAAAGCGCTAGCGCGTTTCTCTTGTTTGCCTAGTTTAGGCGTTTGTCGTCGCCGCCGTGACGTGATTAAGCCTTAAGGTGATAAGCAGGGGTCTTAACTTCAGGTCTGACACAACTGCTGTCTTGACAACAACTGTGACAGGGGGTAACCCATTACTCCTGCCATTCTGCGTTTGGGGAGTAATAATTAATGTGACATTCTGTCAGCCCACCCACTGTATTCTAAGTAAGGACTACCTACTGCATTAATTGCCCTTACAAATAGCATGCCTTTGAATTGCTTTTTCTGAAAGGTATTGTTATTGTTTGAGTTGAGAAAGAAAAACGAAAATAAAAATATACAATATTTACTTAATACATACGATGCATACACGCGCGCGCGCTCACACCAAACACAGGCAGTATTGACTATCTTAAGGTCGATTCAATACAAGCAATGCAAATAACAAGTTATTCATTTATAACGTATTCACCTTATGTAGGAGTAACTATATACTCAGAAACCTCGTGTTCCTCATTCTAAAGAGGTTGACATCCGTATATTCTCATATATTAACAAGATAATTCAAATTGCACTGATAAAGAGGACATTACGCCATTATTTAATTGCGGGGAGTTTCGTTGATGTATGAAATTGAGAGGCACCTTAAGCTGCACTGCATTTCAAGAGGAACGACAAGTGAAACTCAACACGCATGAAACAATGAACTAATCAGATTGCGAGGTTTCTTTCTCTGCGCTATTTCCATATTGCAAGATTCACCTGACCTTACTCTTTTTCGACGATTACTTCCCTCAAAACCTCAAAAGAAAGTATACAATTAAAAAATTGGATGTGACCAAAAAATTACAAACGTTATCAAAAGGTTACAAGGCTGAAAACACAGCAAACTCAAGGTAAAAAACACACCTATGATACCCGTATCACCTGCATCACCGTCCAATAACCATTTCTTGCTTGTTTCATTTTTAGCCACCATCAAACATGGGTGTATACTTTCTTTTGCCCAGCTGTTAGAATATTTCTTTTGTACAATTAAAAAACCTAGCTTTCCATTTACAATTTTCAAGCAATGCTTTGAGTGAGACAGTGAGTGAGTTTTGGTTTTACGTCGCTTTCAGCAATATTCCAGCAATATCACGGCGGGGGTCACCAGAGCAATGCTTTGAGTGAGTGAGTTTTGGTTTTACGCCGCGATCAGCAATATTCCAGCAATATCATGGCGGGGGTCACCAGAGCAATGCTTTGAGTGAGTGAGTTTTGGTTTTACGCCGCGATCAGCAATATTCCAGCAATATCACGGCGGGGGTCACCAGAGCAATGCTTTGAGTGAGTGAGTTTTGGTTTTACGCCGCTCTCAGCAATATTCCAGCAATATCACGGCTGGGGTCACCAGAGCAATGCTTTGAGTGAGTGAATGTTGGTTTTACGCCGCTCTCAGCAATATTCCAGCAATATCACGGCAGGGGTCACCAGAGCAATGCTTTGACTGAGTGAGTTTTGGTTTTACGCCGCTTTCAGCAATATTCCAGCAATATCACGGCGGGGGTCACCAGAGCAATGCTTTTAGTGACTGAGTGAGTTTTGGTTTTACGCCGCGTATAGCAATATTCCAGCAATATCATGATCACGGCGGGGTACACCAGAGCAATGTTTTGAGTGGGTGAGTTTTGGTTTTACGCCGCTTTCAGCAATATTCCAGCAATATCACGGCAGGGGTCACCAGATCAATGCTTTGAGTGAGTGAGTTTTGGTTTTACGCCGCTTTCAGCAATATTCCAACAATATCACGGCGGGGGTCACCAGAGCAATGCTCTGAGTGAGTGAGTTTTGGTTTTACGCCGCTTTCAGCAATATTCCAGCAATATCACGGCAGGGGTCACCAGAGCCACGCTATGAGAAACACGGCGCTCTTACACTGGCTGCTTGCCTCCAGGTATGAGTAACCAGGTGACGTTGGCGTGTGACAACATTACAGGATTAATTCATCACAGGTGGCATATTGTTGGAATTTCTTTCCAAGAAAACGCATGTACGTTCTCAGGTGTGTCGCAGAGCACTTAGTCTACCTGTGTAATTGATCTGTATCCAACAGACAATGTACGCCGTGAAATGCTTGTCTGTAGCGAGACATTTGCAGCAATGATTTATCTACCTACTTCTGGAGGAGTGTATTCTGGGGGTCCAATGCATGACCATTGGGGTCTCATGCTCGTCGCTTCACTTGATTACTAAGACATTTACTGATATCCTACTAAGACGACTTACGGCTATTATTAGATGGGGATTTCAATTCATAGATCTCAAAAAGTCTACCTCTGTAATCATGAACTTTATATTTCTTGGAAGTATACAAATCTAATTTATATGAAACACTTAATTATTTTATGTCGGTCATCCTTGTTTGCGTTCCACAGGATTCGAAATGTTAAGTATTTGCATTCATTTCAAATTTTGTTTTAAACACAATGTCTGCGTCCTGTAAAACCCTATTATGATCAGAAATATGTGTTATAGAGAGTAAGTTATTATTGAACGTCGCGTCGCCATTTCAGCCATATAGCTATGGGTGAGTAAGTGAGTATGGTTTTGCGCCGCTTTTAGCAATATTCCAGCAATATCACCATCGCCCCGCGTGGCAACTAGAATGCAATAAAATGCATAAGCAATGCTCTTAAATTCAATGTAATATACCCGTATATTTGACAGATACAATGTCATGTAGACAAGTTCGAGTTTGTTACACAATTCTGCACAACACGACATAAAACGGTGTTTGTCCTCTCGACATGAGGATATAATGCGTTCACCGTGTTTGCCTGTATGTTACGGTAATAACGTTCACCGTGGATTGGTCGAACGATAACGCTGCTCACAGCCTAGCATAGTGTTACCTGGACATGCCTGACGAAAATATATCTACATGTAATCACGAATGAATTTGAAAACAAAATTACAAATTATTTTAATATTGACTTCGGTCTTTCAACGCCTAAATTTAACTCCTTACATTAATAATTTGGTACGAAGTTCACGTATAATTATGTAGAGGGTACAATTTATGGCATGTAGTGTAAACCAACTCACGCGGAAATGTTGGTGTTCAATTTGACAAAGAATTTATTTTTGATATTAATATACTTATCTTATACTTGTATTTTACCCATACCTTCGTACATACACGTATTTGGATACGTTTTAAGAATATAACGTATGATGATTATAAATTATTAACATTTGTGAAATCTACTTTATCAGATAATCTAAACATAGGAATTTCTGATAACCAAAATACAATCGTAATGTACTTAATATACAATGTATGTTTGTATCAGAAGAAATGTTTAACATAAAACCTACCACACGCCCGATGAGGATAAACAAGTTTGTGATATTTCTTACCTTGGTAGAGATGCGGAATGCACAGAAGTGTCGAAATCTAAACCCACTGATCCCGAAGCTAGTTGGCGTCACCACTGAATCTGTACAGTGGACGGCAGGCTTAAATACCTAGGGTAACAGTGTCAATTCATCGCCTCTCGTCTTGTCTCCCAAGACTATTCTCCCCTAAGCTCCGCCCACTGTCATTTCAGGGCTTAATCCCGGTGTAGGAACATCTTGAGCTTTGACAGGCTGTTCTGTGGAAGATGTAATGTCTTGTGATTGACACACCGTGTGTCAACTATGATATAAGGCATCTTCAGATCTCTTAACCGTGAACGGTCTGAGCGAAGGTGATTCTATTGAACCCTTTGTTTTCCCCTTTTATTTATTTCTGTGTTGATCTTCTTGATTTTTAAAGCTTATATGATCAGGTATACTTACTCTTTAAATATTACTTAATTGTTTGTTAACTATTTCTTGGCTTAGAATATTTTAGTTTTGATACTATTAGTTCAAATACGTTTTTTTAAAATTTTTGATGGATTAGAATTTGTATTTATATAAATGTTTAGGTAATCTTTTCGAATCGTACTGATTGTATTTTTAAAAATTAAAAGTACGAAAACATATTGAAGCGTGGTGATTGAACTGTAACATTTAGTTTATAATTTAAATGTTAAATTAATGCATTAACGAAGAGTGTTATAACTAACGCGGCATTGCTTAAATGTGCTTATACATGTTCTAAGAAACATAAAGAATAGACTGATGACGTTTGTAATAATAATGATCAGAGTTACTATAAGCTGAAATATCCCAATTTGACCTATTGGATTTTGTGTAAATTGTTACCATAATATGTCGGGTATTATGAAATCTCTCGAATGCAAAGATTGGAATTTTTTTAGAACGTATATGACATTGTTTTAAAGTTTCGTCGAAGTATTTTTGCGCCAAGGGTTAATATACTTCAATTGTTGAAAAGCAATCAAGTAAACACCATTTTATGACTGTGTTGAACAAAGAAAGTGTAAAAATAATTTCTCTGTATTTAAATGGTCTATTTGATGTCAACACATATACAATTATGCGCCGTTGCTGTATCTAATTTCAAAGACAACAAATCAAGACTAATTTACGAGGGCCTTGGGCCAAATAGTACAAGGTCGTTTCAGCGTATGCGCGTGACATTTTTGTCTTTGACAAATCGACAGGGATATTAATCTTACGCATTGTCTTAGAAGAATGCTCAAGCAGGGAGCCACTTTCACACACTATTGTTCTAGTTGCGCTGATCCAAAGATGTGGTTCAATTAAGAATAACAATTAGTTGTTCAAACAGCCTATTGCATAATGATACCCGCTTGTATTGGGCTTAAAGAGCAAAACACAGCAGCATTAAAACCTACTGACTCCACACTGCTCGAGTCAAGACGATTTTTTTATGTCTTTTTATGCCGTAGGCATTAATTTTCCGATACAGAGGATAATGTTTTCATAAAAAAAACTGGCGGAATTTCTTAAACAAGCTTTGTTTAACGAGTGGCGCGTTTAATCTGTATTTATACTTTGGATTTGACACTCAATTTCTTTACAAAAAGAAAACAATTTCGACACCATTCAGATATACTAATCATCATTAGGACAAAAAGTAACTTGGTTGATTTGCATGGGTCTCAACACAGGTGTGATATTTGTTGCCCGTTCACCTATTTGTAGCGAGGGTGTCTGATTTAACGCTGCTTTTAACAGTATTTCAGTTACAGCACGGGGTATCAGCTTGATGGAAGAAAGCAACTAGCCACAGACAATACGGCGCTTTGTTCCCTCCCCATGCATTTTTGGTAATGGTTATGACATGTTTTTGTAAGTACATTTATTCATGCTATTTGTGCACCGTATGCATGTGCATCAGCTGGTTATACTAAGAAAGGTGAGGTGAATGGGGTTAACGTCGCGTCCAAGATTATTGCACTTATGTTGCGACTAATGCCGATTTTTTTTGTGCTAGTCCACTGAGATACCAGTGATTTATGTTTTATTGTTAACCTTTTATGTGTATATAGTTTTATGTTTTGGGTATATTTTTAGTTCATTTATAGTCTCTCGTAACCCTTAAAGGGTGGCTCACTTTTTATTGTATTCTGTATAGCATATTTTTACCCTGTACTTGTGAGGTGAGACTTAAATAAATTATCTGTCTGTCTGTCTGTCTGTCTGTCTACCATGTCGCAGTTTAACATGAATACCCCACTCAGACACAGTATACTGACACCGAGCTTGTCAGTTTTATTTTAGCCCCTTAACGCCGAGCGCGAGATAAGGTTAACAACAAGTACCATCTTTTGACGTCTTTTGGTATGGCGCGGCCGGGGATCGAACCCGGACCTTCCGATCTCTGATAGATGAAACATAGAAGGCATACACCTCGTTTGATTGAGGATAATGAAAAACAAAGAAGAAATGGTTGTTCGATGGCGATCTATTTTACGTGAGTTTGCAGTGTTTTCGGCGACGGTTTTTCAACCTAGTTATATTTTGGTCAAAACTATTCAAGTGTATATTTCCTTTTGCCCGACAGTGTACCACTGATCACTGTGTTAACGAGACTGGTTAATGAGTGATTTCACCAATTCGTTGCAAATTAGGTGTGTCGGAGTGTGCGAGACTGTCGGATTAACGGGTCTAAATAGCACTGATTTAATCGGTTCCCATCATTAGTGTCGGATAAAGCCAATTGTCGGATTAACGAGAATTGACTGTATATGAAAAATATATGTATCTCTTCATGGAACTAGTGATTTGGGTTTATCGCTGCTTTGGCGAAACCTACGATCACGGATATGGTGCGGACAAACCTAGACAAACGGGATTCGAAACCACGACTATAGGTTTCTGGCGTTCCCAAGGGACGCAACTCTATACAGCAAGGCTGCACTGGCGCCAAGACGACTGGGCCACCCGTGCCACCCCCTCTCTTTATCGAGAGTGCAATAAATAGTCATGTTAAACGACTCTAGCAAAACTTTTAAAGACCATCGCAGGCGACCTTGACCATGTGGCTAAGAGCAGTAAAGACCATGTCATGTGTATTTGTGGTGTCTTTTACCAAAAGCAATAAACTTTTAACAACCCTATGGGATACTTTATATCTTGTAGCGTTATAGATTTATCACTCATTAATAGCCCTTTGCAGTCACCTTTATCTTCTACATGTGTGAAAGTGTAAATTATGTTGTCATCATTGTTTTATTGTCTCTGACAACTCCGTATGGAGTCGCTCGTTTCTCTATATGCTTTAATACTAAGATAATTCTAATGTGCTTGTTCCCCATGTATCATATATGTGACGAGGTGAGACTCAAATAATTAATCTGTCTGTATGTCACTATATAAACACATACGTAGAAATGATTCATTCTAATGCTTCTGAATTGTCCAAGGAGATGCATTAGACTATAAGTCATTGATAGTACATCGGCACCCCATAGGAAGATATTTGTCCGTATTGGCTATGAAAGGTCAAACACTTGTTGTCGTTACATATTTCAGGAGTGACAGGTTGACCGCCGTAGTGAGTGGTATCTTTCAAGTTCAATTTCGGGATTAGTGTGTGAGTATGGTTTTACGCCGCTTACAGCAATATTTCAGCAATATCACGGCGGGGGACTCGAGAAATGGGCTTCACACATTGTACCCATGAGGGGTTTCGGGATTAGGTTAACTGTATTATCTCTGAACGTTCACAGTGGTGCAAGATCATATGTATAAACGCGTCAAGCTCGCTTTAGTTTAGTTTAAACAGATTTCATTGTACAAAAAGATAATAGGATTGGGCACGAGCGTATCATTTATTGCCGCTTTTTCCATATACATGTATACCGTTAAACATTATATAGCAAGTGAAGAATGATATTGATGAATCCCAGTGCACAATACGATACTGATGATGTTTTTGGTTTGGTTTGTTGTTTAACGCCGCACTCAGCAATATTCCAGCTATATGACGGCGGTCTGTAAATAATCAAGTCTGGACCAGACAATCCAGTGATTGACATCATGAGCATCGGTCCACGAAATTACGACAAGCATAGTCGCCTTTTACGGCAAGCATGGGTTGCTGAAGACCTATTCTACCCCGGATCTTCACGGGTCTACTGGTGACGTAAAAGGACATGTACAATGTACTTGAAAGTGCAAACAGTGTACATCTAATAAATATGCAAATGTTATACAGTTATTTTTGTATATAGATCTAATAATATTAATCAATGATTGATATAATTAGTTAGAATGCGTGATACTGACAAAATAGTCTGCTTATGTTGTAACCAATGTCAGCTGACTATTATTTCAAAACAAACTATATACCGCAATGCCTTATTGGAATCAACAGACTGACACAAGTCAACGTAAGGAGTCAATGTTGAAATTCGACGTCCACGTTTACGTCAACGTTGACATTATATATAGACGTTTCCCGTTGATGTTATATGCGTTTTTAAAGTCGAGTAAACGAATACTTAATTTGCAATCAAAGATCTTTATTTCACTTTTCATTAATTATGAACTAAGTGTCTTCATTGAGTATGCAATGACTAATGAAAAAATGTTGCCGTATTATTACATAATGATACAATATAAAATTCTAAATTAAATATAAACGCCAGTGCCTCAAGGATCCTCACAGTCTTATCTTACAACTAAACTGACAGAAACCAAGAGGTGAGGTGAAATTGGGTTTAACGTCGCGTCCAAGATTATTGCACTTATATAGCGACGTGCATGCACGTGTGTGTGTATGGCTGCTTGTACTAGCCCGGACTGATGCCGATTTATAGTGCTAGCTCACTGAGATACCATGCCGCAGTTTAACATGAATACCCCTCTCAGACACAGTATACTGACTCCGAGCTTGAATTTATTTTAGCCCCTAAATGCAACAAGTACCGTCTTTTAACGTCTTTTGGTATGACGCGGTCTGGGATCGAACCCCGGATCTTCCGCTCTCCGGGCGGACGCTCTACCGCTAGACTACGGAGGCGGTTCCAGAAACCAAGAAACTGGAAGCGATACTTTAATAATAAAAGCGACGAAACCCTTTCCATATTCCCAAGAAATATCTGCCAAAAGCAGAGCCGATTTTACGGGTCCTGCTATATCATGAGCG